GTTTTATTGAGGGAAAGGGAAACCCTTCCACATGACACTGTCTCCTCTCTCTTCACAGCAACACACATGCCTTTCAAATCCAACTGGAAAACCTTGTCACATTTGCTATTTCAGTTGTTGCCTGTGTGCTCGAGATACGTTTCCTGATGATGTCTCTCCATATTCCTCGATGTTCTGACAGGAGTTGGGTGCAGGCTGAGGGCTCCTCTTCTCTAAACACTTCTCACCACCTACACCTCAGAGAGGCATCTTCCTCTCTGGAGGCCTAGGAAGCAAGTCTGTATGCATGACTTGAGGCTACTGAAGGGGCTGCAGCAGTGTTTCAGGCTAAGAACTACACTTTCAGCGTCCACCCATCTTTGCCCCTGCTTTCTGGTCTCTGCAGCGACATGTGAAGGCATGGCCTTTGAGGTACAGTACCTGCCAGCTCTCCCTGAGTGGGAAAGGAACGTTATCCAGATGGCCCTGGGCCTGGGGATCTAGGATGGCATTTTCCAAAACAACCTTAAGTGAGAACAGTTCAAATTCTCAGCTGAGCATAGGCACCAGATCCATTCTGAACTCTCAAACCCCAAATGAGGCACTTCAACACAGCTCCCTCCCCAGCACGGAAGGCTGATCCATGTAGGTATCCAAGTGCATCCTTCAGCAAGACAGCCTCTCTCAGGCTAGCTTTGTTTTAAAGCTGCTTTGAGAGCATACCAGCCTCAGGCCAACAGGCCTGCCTTTGTGCTCCTGTGACAACTGCCGTCCTTGAACCACAGCAGCTTGCAGCTGCTGTACTGAAGCTCAGGTTTGCTGACGTGCCAGGAGGGATCTCCAGAGGCACCTGCACCCACCCGGGATTTCAGCCTCTATGCTGGTACAGCCACGAATGGAGATTGCATCTAATCAATTTTAACAAATGGTTAAAAACACAGAGCCCGCAGGGGAAGGGAAGCACAGTCCTCTCCCAGGTGGGGAACGGGAGCCAGCGCACAAAGTCCAAGGCGAAGAGCTGTAGGATGGCAGGGCAGCACATCAGCTCTGTCCCTGCTTGTTACCACTTGTCAGGCAGTGGGAGCTGATCAGCGTGGCTACGTTGGGGGGTGCTTATCATCCTCCAGCAGTGGAGCAGAGGGCCAGGCAGAACAGGCAGCATGTGCAGCTGCTGTCGTTGCTAACAAACTTCAGGTGTGATCACTGCCCACTGCCTCTGTCAAAACAAACACAAGATGAGGTAAGAAGGAGAGAGAGGTGATGATACCACATGCAGTACAATAAGGCAGGAGATGCATTTCCAACAGGGCTGTCCCCTGTTGGCTCAGGTAGACACTAGGCAGGCATCAGTAACCACGTTGCTCAGCCACATCTAAGCTCTTGTCTCAGATATGGCTGAAGAGCTGCTTTTTCTATCTGCACTGCTGAGTCCTAACTGGGATATTTTATTTATGAGTTAGAAAAAGTTGCTGAAGGAATTTTTTTTTTTCAGTAAAATAATGATTTTAACCTTTCTGATTTATTATTTTTTTTAAAGAAAGAGCAGGAGGATGAGATCTGAGGATCTCGGTTCAGTCTGTCTGAAAGCTCTGAAATGCATATGAACTTCTTTCCCTGTTTCCAAATCTGACAAGGCAGCAGGAGTCCTATGCTAGCCTAAGCAAACTCTTCTCTCTCAGATGCCTGTACATCGATGTTAGCAGTGACAGTAGGTAGTTTTTATAACATCTTTCCTGAGTGATATTTTTCAGGGCTTTAATGTAGAAAAGCATGAAGCAAAAGTAACTTCCATCTCCTGCTCTCAGAAGCCAAAGCCTGTGTTTCAAGGGGGTTTCAATATAGTCATCAGGGACATATACTATAATAGATTTCAGTTGCTCTTGGCCCCTGTTGCAATACAGAAAATTCCAAGGATTTCCCTGGTCCTCCACATTTCCCTTCCTACTCTGCATGTCCACACATGCATGTCCAGTGTTTCTCAGAGATCATTTTTATGGCTATTTTCCACAATATCTGCACAGTGAAAGCATTCGTCCAGCTGGAGATGGGCTCAGAGATTCCCTTTTTGTCCTTCCTGCTCCTCCATTTTGAACAAAGAGGATGGGGAAGTAGCTGAGGATCTCACGCCTGATCCTCCATCCCAAGCACATCTTAGATCCTGCCAAATGATTCTCAGGGCAGCAAAAAAAGCGGAATTTCAAGTGCAGGAAAGAAGAACACTTCCCTTTTTTTTAACATTCTTTTTCTTTTGTTGTCTCTCACAAAGAGAAAAACCCTGATGTGTCTTACTGCTAAATCTTTGCAGATCTGCTCTCATTTGGCATGGAGAGTTTCCTCCCCTAGACTCAACAAAAGCCGCCACAGTTCAGCTGGATGCAGGGTGGGGTGGTGGGAATGAGGGCAAGGAAGAGAGTGCACTCCAGGTGGGACAAAATAACTGCGATATATGAAGCACCCGTTGAAGCCTGATCTTCTGTGTCTGTGGCTAACCACCAAGCAGGCACACGTGCCAAATAGCCACACAAGTGGACTACCTAGAGATTAACAGAGCACCAAATCTCACACCAAGCAATCTCTACCTGGCTCACATCTGCAGGTGTTAAA